TGTTCCCATCAAAGCCCCCCGGCCACAGAGACTGGTGAAACGTTAGGAAGAACAACCTTCAGAACATGGCCAAAGAGCCCAAAAACCCCACAACAACCATTAGATCCCAGCCGTGAAAGCCTTCACGAATACCCATCTCTTACTGTTCTAAGGAATGCATTTCTTCTTTCATCATGATATATCTGTCTGGTTCTGGAAGACTATACTGTATCTTATAACACACAAATGTCACTCAGCAGTGAGGAAAGGCTCCTTATTTTCATTTGACACCTTAAAGCAGTGCTCCCTAACCTTTTTTGCACCATGGAGGGTTTACCGTCCGGGGGGGTTGGGGATTCGTCGTCCATGCGTGGGCGAGGCATGCATGCATCTGGGGGCTGAGTGTGTCCATGCGTGGGGCATCTGTGCATGTATGGGTGGGTTATGCATGCGTCCATGTGTGTATGTGGAGCAGTGTATGTGCATACGTGCATATGTGGGGGCGGGCGATCTGTCTCTGTGACCAGGTCCTGCCACTACCAGGCCACAGACTTGGGGTTGGTGACCCCTGCTTTAAAGAAATTGTGGACTCTGCACTGCTAGTTACTGCTTCACCCCAGACAGAGGTATATATTATTCCCTATAATCCAAGACTGCTTTTACCAAACCATGCACACAACAAGCTATTTTGACCAGTAGTCTGAGTATAGGGAAATAATGCATATGTCATGGGCCTATGTCTTTAAAAGTCCTTTTCAGAAGAGAATCCAATGTCCCAGAAAATTCTAACCTCCCTCAAAACTATTGAGGTTCTCAGAAAGGACAACTGAAGGGCCATCCTTTGCAAAAGAAAATATTGTTACATCAGCCCAGAGCTTCCAAGACCATAAACATCGTAACTAGGAAGGCCAGAGCCTTTAAGCTCAGAAATGCCTGTCTGCAGCAGAGGGCCTTAATGAGTAAAGAACTTCTCATGTGGATCACTTGTTCAGGAAGACTGTATTATGTTACAGCTGGATCACTGATATGGATCTGGCACTTACTTTTCAAAGGTTTCTGAGGCTAGAGGAATTGCTGGTATATAATTTTTATTCCTCATGTGAGCTTGCTTTTCTGACTCTCTAGTGGAAGCCCTGTGTGTGACCTCAAACTGTCTTTGACCATGCTTTTAGTTGCTCCTTGGCTACTGTGCACTCTGCAACCCCGTAAGTGACCTCACATTGTTTCACTTTGCCTTGTGCTGTCTATTTCTCGTCTCTTAGTGTGACCTGCCTGTGTAACCTGAATTACCTTGGCCTTGTTTTTGGGCTGCATCTAAGTACTGAGTGATATACAGTATACCTGAGTGACATTTATCTCTGAGTGTTAGTAACTATCTTTGACCCATTCTCAACCATTCCTAGGGACCTGTACACATTCTTAAATGGGAAAAATTGTACATACAGGAACATGAATCAGAAGAATTAGGAAGACAAGACACATAAATTTAATACAGCATAAACAACTTTTAAAAGACTATTACATCAATGACTAACCTGAAGGCTGTTCTTTTACCAAACCATTCTTATTTCTTTCTTCCCAATCCATTACTTCTTTATATATTAGTTCTATATATAGAAAGAGAGAGGGTAGGAAGACAAATGAGACAAAACAGCAGAAGAGTTATTTCACTGCTTTTTTTCCTTTCCCCCTTTTGCCTGGAATAACATCTGAAAATATTCCTCCACAAACCCTCTAATCATGTAAGATTTGACCATGCCATTCCATCAATCCTTTATGTATTATTTATTCCCCTTCTTTTCTAACTAATCTTTTATCCCAATAACTTGTTTCCTTCTTATTCCCAATTCTAACTTTTGAATTTACTGGAAATTTCTCCAACTCCACCAATGAATGGAGAAATTGATGAAATTAGTATTTTTCTATACTGTACCTATTCCAAATTAAAAGCATATTTTTAAAGTAGGGATTTTCAATATTTTTACTATCTTGTTTTCCTGAAAACAAGACAGGTTCTTCTATTAATTTTTGCTCCAAAAAACGCATTAGGGCTGATTTTCAAGGGATGTTTTATTTTTTTTCATGTACAACCATCTACATTTATTCAAATACAGTCATGTCATCTTTTTCTGGTTGCTGCACAATGGTGGAGGGCAGGGTTTCACTTAACTGGAGCTTATTTTGGGGTAGGGCTTATATTAGGAACATCTTGTTAGGTCATTTTTGGGGAAACAGGGCATGTTCTTATTATATTGCATAAAAAGAATATATTTGGGATTTAAATTTAATTCTTGGGTTTCTATATTTAACGTACAAAACTGTTAAATATGAAAACACAGGAATTACATTTATATACTCTAAAGGAAGCAAAAGGGAGGGAGCTTTTCATAGGCAAAAATCACTGCTGGATTATCACTGTCTACTGGTCACTATCTGGTCATGAGTGTTGAGAATTAAAGGTTTTTTTCAAGGTCCGAAGGCTCCCAAAGGCTTCCACAGGGCAAAAGGAAGTTCTAGGGAGCCCTGAAAACTGAAACAGGAGGAGGATTTGAAGCTCTGAATTAATTAAAATTAATTATTTTCAGCAATCTAATCTGGTTTACACTGGCAGAACAGAACTCATAGGATTTTGCTCAAAGTTTATTTAGTCTATTCAAATATTTGAGTATTTACATTATTTGTGCCCCATGCAACAGTCTGTTTAGCCATCTATCTAAGAAAAAGAGAAACAAATTAAAAATCGGGAAGATAGGAACAGTCATAAGATAAGTATTTTACTGACTTGTTCATTATTATAGTAGGTGTTAGTAACTTAGGCAGACTAAATTACTATGTTCTGATTTTATTCGAATGAAGCTTAAAAATCATCTTTCTGTCACTGAAATATATTTCATTAAATATTATCTAGAGGCCATTACTTAGCAAAACATTCTCAGAGGATTTTAACATATTGTAGATTTTACCTTTCCATTCTTCAATGGCATGTTCTCTTTCTTCCAGCTGTGCATCATAGATCTGAGGTGGTGGCTACGAATATAACAAAGTTTTAAAATTTCATTTCATTCTTTTTTACACATATACAGCTAATGAAGAGTGAAAACATATTTTTGAGCTAGTGATCATGTTGGGAAGTTCTGTGTGAAAGACAGCAAAATAAATAGGTGCCCAAGAACATGGCTATGCGTAAGAGGCTATTTATGGGCCTCTTACTGTGGTTAGTTTCCATGGTTATCACAGAATGATTTGTTCCTTCAAACAGAATGGATGCTCATATTTCTTCCCTGATTTTAAATGTAACAGCTTTAAACAACAGACTGCTGTGCTTCATTCAAACCACTCTCCAAGCTTTCAACCCCCAATAAGGTCTACTGCTTTCTTAATGTTACATTGAATCATCAATGATAAACAACTATAGCTTTTGTTTCTCATAATGTGAGCAAAGTATACAAGCTTTCTGAATTTATGGACAAAATCCTCTTTGCTTATACTGCATGACCAATGGTCTGTGCATTAACAGCTGTTTCCTCCCCCCAACATTACAAATTTTCTCAACATCACACGGTCGGAAGCCCCCACTATTTTAAACAGGGTATTTCCAATTCCCACAACTGTGAGCTGGGGATCATGCGGACCACTATAGAACACTACACAATTGTGCCCTAACTTTTTAATGATTTCTTGATCTTCATTCATACACTTTACTGCCCTTCTCCTCCTGCTTTGAGATGCTTACCTGGCATCTCCCCTTTGTGGTCTTAAAGACATCATCTTTATTTTTGAACAAATGTCCTATGCTTTCAATCTTAAAATATTTTATGGTTTTTCACATTCTTAGATAATATTAGGGTTATTGCCTCTTGTTGATTTTTTTTTAAAAAATTAGACAATGTCTGAGTTTTTCCTTTTTATGACGCAGAAAATGTGAAAGGTATACAAATAATCCAAATAAATAAACATTAAACTTACTGCTTCAGCTTCAGCTGGATCATACCAAACTGTGATATATGGATGACGTAAAGCTTCATCTACCGAAATTCGTTTGTCTGGATCTACTACTAGCATTTTTGATAGTAAATCTCTAGCTTGACAGGCTAGAAAATGGAAAGGAGAAAAGATTTAATTATTAGAAGCTAAATATCTGAAAGCATAAAAATATAGAATGTTTATTTATCACTCTGGCACAAGCAACAAACTTAAACAGCACAAAGGAATATCTGCATTTTCTTAAAGGGCAGACAATTGCAGAAACATACTGTATCAACTAGAAATATTTTAGTTCAGCCTAAAGTTATTTTGAAAATATTGCTTTATTTATAATTATCATATTTTTCTGTCTATCAGACACCTCTGTGTATAAGACCCCCACCATTTTCTAACTGAAAATTAAGAAAAGGTAGCTTTGAGTATTCAGCCTCTGGGCTCAGAACACTCAGACATTACGAGTCCCTGTTGAATCTGAGCCTACTACAGTCTCCACGAGGTGTGTTGCAATTGGTTTGTTCAGCATTAAGATCAGTTACATAAGGCTCGTGATTGGAGGAAGCCTGTTTGCATGGGAAAGGTATGTGCCATTTTGTTCTCTCCTCAGCTTACTTCTGTGTATAAGACAACTCTCAATTTTTAGTCTAAAGGTTTTAGAAAAAAGTATTGTCTTATACACAGAAACGTATGGTAAGCAGCACTTCAGGGTTATCGAATTTTGAAAGTTTGATTTTGAAGCTGACAAGTGAGTTCTTGTTGAGTAGCTAAATCAAAACAAAAACCAACAAAGGCAAAGAAAACTAATACCTACAAAACTAATGCATACAGTTAAAATGTTAATGAGCACAAAGGTAGAATTTATATACTCCAAAACAGGAAATTTAATAATTTATGTTTTAAAAAACTAGTGTATGAACATCTCTGTTGCAACCTGAAGTTGTAAAAATTCCACAACAAATTAGACTTGCTTTACAATCTTGAGAATAATAGAATATTTATTTTGCATATTCTTGAAAAGGTGCTTATGAAAAGCACCTTTTCAAGCCGCCTAGAGTGGTCACAAGACCAGATAGGCGGGGTATAAATAGAATAAATAAAATAAATAAAATATACACACAAACAAAATCTTACTTTTTAATTTGTCACGATCAGAATCCGATGGAAATATCCAGTCTGGGAAGAGCTCTTCAAATTTGATACCTGGATATTTTGGCCTGTTTTCTACATAGTTCCGCACAGTAGGCTGTAGCTTTTTCATAAATTCTGCTGACGGTGTACCTAACTGTTCAATAACTTTATTCCACTGGTCAATATCTACAAACATTTAGGAAAATAAGGTAACTCTTGCCCCCAAATTCTATATAACAGAACAATCAGGAACCTGGTAGAACTATTACCTAGGAAAGTACCTTTATTTCACAAATTGTGAGTAAAACAAGATTAATCTGTGTGAATAAACTTTTCTAATTAATTTTGGATTATTTTATCAAAATACGTTGGATTCTTTCCAGATAAAGTACTGGATAATAGAGGAAATATTTTGGGGAGTCAAGAATCAGCAATAGCTAGTCCATTTAAAAATGAATTTACTGTATCTGGATCCAATCCTCTGACAACACAATCCTTTATTTGTTAACTCAGAAGAAAGTTCCAGAAAATTTGAAAGTGCTTACTATATTTCACACTGGTAGCTGAATTTAGGATTATAACTTGAAGTAAACTGATAATTTAGAAACAGAAGCTAAAATTTCCAGCAGAGCATAATACAGTAAAAACACACAAGGTAATGACATGCTTAAAAACATTTGGGAGGAGGCATTAAATATTTAATATTATTAAATATTATAATATTATTAAATATTATAATATTAAATATTAATATTTAATATTCAAGGACATAAGCTGTCAAATTTCAAATGTATATATTTACAGTCTAATTTCATCCCTTTACAAGGAATACACAATAGTATTTTCAATGACTGAACAAAAAGGCAGATTACTTGCGACTACTGTCCATCCTTTGGTTCTCTGTGCAGACCTATATAGTGAGATGCTTCTACAGCCCATGAAAATGCAAGTGCTGCATTGATAACAGATTGTGTGGCCTCTCAATTAAGCAGCATAAAGTTATGTTCACAGGTACTAAATTACGGCTTGATACTCTTGACGATCAGTTCCCTCTTGCTGTGGTGGACAGTAAGAAAACTTTTCCTGGGATGAAGAAGGGCATACCGTTACTTGAAAAAACTAGATTTAATGTGTGAACTGGGTTGCAACTTTAAATGTCTAGACAACTCTAAAAACCCTTCAGAGCAAGAAGCTAGTTTTGCATCAGCATTAAGGGTTGTGGTAGAAGTATGAGGGGAAGAAGATGCTGAGCAAATATGCTGTTGGCCATAATCTGTATATGAAAAACACCATCTGTGTTTCAAGCGTCATTTGTGAACCCTCATTTTAGTGGCAGGAAGTAGAGGTTCTCAAGCTGATCAACTGATTGTGCCAAAGAATCACAAACTAGCTCCCTCCACTGATCAATAAATGGCTCCTTTTCAAACTGGGAGAAGCTAACAAGTGGGGTATCATAAATCTCAGTCCTGGGCCTGGTAGTCTCCCAACATTTTCATTAATGACTTGGATGAGGGGTTGCAGGCAATGCTTATCAGATTTGTAGACCAAACACAACATTGGATGGAATAGCTAATCCCTGGAAGGCAGAAACAACATTCAAAGATGATCTTGATAGGCTCAGGCACTAAGCTAAAAACAACAGAATGAAATTGAACAGAGATACGTGTAAAGTCCAAATCTAGAGAAAAACAAATAAACACAGTTATAATATGGAAATACTTCTCAGTAATACTACAAACTGAATATGAGCCAACAGTGCAATGTGGCTGCTGCAAAAAGGCCAATCTTATTTTAGGCTGCATTAACAGAAGTATAATCTCCCAATGCTGCGAAGTACTGGCTTCCCTCTATTTTGCACTTATTAAGCCTCAACTTGAGTACTATGACCACTTCTGGACACACTTAAAGAAGGATGCTGACAAACTGGAACAAATTCAGAAAAGGGTAACAAGGGTGATCAGGGGACTGGAAATCAAGCTCTATGACAAAAGACTGAAAGCATGTTTAGCCTTGACAAAAGGAGACTGAGGTGACATATAATAGCACTTTTCAAATACAGTACTTGAAAGATTGTCATAGAGGGGAGGGGCAGGATCTGTTCTCAATCACCTTAGTGTGCAGAACACATAACAATAGGCTGAAGTTACAGGAAGCCAGATTTCAGTTGAGTATCAGGGGGGGAAATCTTTGACTTGGATTTCCTGCATTGAGAAGGGGGTTGGACTTGATAGTTCAGAAAGGACTGTGTTGCCAAAACATATAGTCTTCCCCAAAGGCTATGAAGTCCATTGAAAATGCCTTGAGAAATAAAACCCAAACTTCTTTGTTAGAGTGGTCCTACTAAGACCTGATGAAATTCCAAAATTCTTCCACTGGTTTACACCTCACATTTATCCATAATAACATCTGTCTAAGAGCTTTTGTGGGCAAGAATCCCGTAGAAGGAATGGATAGCCCTCATAGTCAACAAAAGAGTGGGAAAAGCTGTAATGGGATAAAATATCAAAAATGATAGAATGATGTCAATAAGAATCCAAGGCAGACCTTTCAACATCACAATAATCCAAGTTTATGCACCAACCACCACTGCTGAGGAAGCTGAAATTGAACAATTTTATGAAGATTTGCTTTGCAACACAGAACTGACACCAAAGAAAGATGTTCTTCTCATTCTAGCGGATTGGAATGCTAAAGTAGGGAGTCAAGACATAAAAGGAACAACAGGGAAGTTTGGCCTTGGAGTTCAAATCAAAACAGGGCAAAGGCTAATAGAGTTTTGTCAAGAGAACAAGCTGGTCATCACAAGCACTCTACACATGGAAATCACCAGATGGGCAATATCGAAATCAGATTGATTATATTCTCTGCAGTCAAAGATGGAGAAGCTCTATACAGTCAGCAAAAACAAGACCTGGAGCTGATTGTGGCTCTGATCATCAGCTTCTCATAGCAAAATTCAAGCTTAAACTGAAGAGAGTAGGAAAAACCACTGGGCTACTCAGGTATACAGTGGTGCCTTGCTTAGCGATTGCCTCATTTAACGATGTATTCGCTTAGCGATGAAGTTTTTGGAGCAATCTTGCGCTCCATTTAGCAATGTTCCCTATGGGGAAATTTTGCATAGCGATGTTCGGGACCTTGCTTCGCTTAGCAATGACAGTTTAGATCCCCCTGTTTCGCATAGCGATGTCCGTTTTCGCTATTTTAAGTGTGTCTTAAAATGTTCAAAAACTGTTTTAAATGCTTGGAATCGTTAGTGCACCCTGTAAAACCTTTGCAAACTTAATTTGGCTTTGTTCTGAGTCTTCGTTAATTTTTGATGAATTCACCCCCCCATTGGAATGCACTGAACTGTAGATGTCAAACTTACAGTTCAGTGCATTCCAATGGGGGGG